TACAATCTGTACCAGTGGATACAAAGGCTGTGCTCTCTTGCCCTCCTGTGCTGCATACAGCTGTGATGTTAGCAATGTGGGAAGTAGTCCTCAGAGACAAGCCCCCCTGCAACAGAGTCTACAGGCGTGATACAAATGAGACAAAGGGAAACTGCACCGATGAGAGAATAACCTGGGGCTCCAGACCTGACGAGATTCCTGCCCTTCAGATTGACCCAGTGGCCATCACTCACGATGGGTATTACAAGTGTGAAATGTTAACACCTAATGGGAATTTCTATCATGGATATCACCTCCAAGTCTTAGGTAAGAAACACTATATATTGTGGTGTTTCAGATGACCAGATTTGGGACTGAAGCAAATCTCTCTCTAAATTTCACGTCCCATGTGTTAAGACTGAAGCATTTTCCCTACATTTCTGCAGTGCCCCCTGAGGTGACCCTGGTTAAAAGCAAGGCTGGAACTGCAGTGTGCAAGGCAGCTGCAGGGAAGCCAGCTGCACAGATCTCCTGGACCCCAGAGAGGACTTGTGCCACTGATCAAGAACTCTGGGGCAATGGCACAGTGACTGTCCAGAGTACCTGCGACTGGGAGGGCCACCATGTACAGAATGTGTCCTGCTCTGTCTCCCACTTGACTGGCAACAAGAGTCTGACCATACAGTTGAATCAAGGTAAGCACCAGTTTCTTTAGAGTAGTGAACTTGATGCTCAGCCTTTCCTTCCCAGAATATTATGAATAACCAGCAGAAAGTAAGAAAGCTTGTTCTCCTAATTTAAAGATATTCTCTAAAACTTACCTTGGTTAATCATTAGTATGCTAGAGAAATTATTTGTACTTCTCTATTAAATAAAAGGAATTAATAACTTCTTACTATATTCTCTAAATACCTTTTATTCTCTCAGCTGTAAAAATATTATTTCCTAACTAGTGATTCAGACTTTTACTTATTATTGGTATAAAATATTGATACATTATATAATTTAAAAATACTTCTTCAGTAATTAGTCAATAATAATAATTATTCCCATTGATTTTTTGTTTCTTGTAGTAGTCACCATTTTATTTGCTACTCTGAGTAAGAGGCAAGTTTTCCTTCCTCCTCTACTTTGTCATCTGAAACCAATTCATCAATTCACTGCCTGGACATTTACTGAGTATTATTATGTGTTTAAGGCTACAAAGTCCATGTCTTCATATTGTTCCAGGGAGTATTATTTGTTGGTTAGGAGCAAAGCCTTTGGCAATACATGGCTTCTCATTAATCAGCTGTGTGACTTGGAACAATATTTAATTTCTCTGTCTCATGGTTTCTTTTTCAACTGACATATAATTGATATGTAACATTATGTTAGTTTCAGGTATAGAACATAATGATTTGATATTTGTACATATTGTGAAATGACTACCAAAATAGGTCTGGTTAATGTATCATGATTTCTTCATCTGTTAAATGGGTTGATAGTACCCACTTCACAGAATTATTGTGTTAATTAAATAAGTGATATATATACTTAATATCTCTCACCAGGGTTTTTACAGTGTTCTTGTAACAGGTCTTCTGGTCTCTAGCTTACCTCCTTCCAGTTCCCTGTGGCCAGTGACTTCCAAAATGAACAACATGCTGCTCCCCTACTTAAATGTCCCTCATGGCATCTCTTTGCCTCATGGAAAGCTAAACCCCTTTGACCTGCTGCTCTCCTTGTCTCATGTCTTGCTATTCTCCAGCCGGTACCCCATGCACGTGGGCCTCTTCGGGCTCCTCAAAAGGGTTATCCTCTTTTATTCCTCTCCTCTCTTTTACATGCAATTTCACCTCTTCATCATCTATTTCTTTCCCTGTACACTCTCCTTCCATTCCACTTGATCAATTCCTACTGAAGTTTTAAGCCTTAGCTTGATATAATTTCCCTGGGATAATTTTCTCTCGCCATGTGGTTTGGTTAGCTGTTCCTTCTCTGTGCTCAAATAATGTCTCATGCATTCCTCTGACTGAGTACTTCCATAGCCCTACAGTTGACTGCCCACTTCTCTGACTCCCAGTACAGGGCAGGTTCCTTGAGAACAGGAACCACATCATTCACTTCTACATTCCCAGAGTCTGACACAACGCCTGACACACACAAACAACTGCAGAACTAAGTTCAGATTATCACAGACTTCATCTCTATATATCCCACTCTATGCTCCAAATATAATTAAAGTTGACTCATCTTTAAATCTTTGCTCAAATTGTTTCTTTCTCTTAAGAAGTCTTCTTTTTCATCTCTTTACCTATTTAATCCTGTTACTGGCAAGGCTCAGTTCAAATCCCACTTTGCTCTGACCTCCCAGTTAGAGTTGATTACGCTTGCTTATTCCTTAGATGAGTTACAATCTGCAATGCTCCCTTAGTTCTGTTTACTCTCTTGTAAGTTATCTTTTCATTTGTCTAGGTCTGCTTCTCCAGCTGGATTGTGACTTTTTTGAAGGCTGTGACGTGTCTTCTTTGTCTTTTCGACAGTGCCTAGGAGACTGTCTGACGTTCTTCTAGTTTAGTATCTAAGTAGGCTGTTTAGCAGGATGATATGACCTTTTGAGCCAAGAGTCACACTAGTGCTTAGAGTTCACCCAGTCTTTTGGCTGCTATTTTCATAGGAGAAAAGACTTCAGAATGATGTTCCTAATTAGTCCCATTATATCTTTGCAACAATTCTTGGGGCCATTTCACAGATGAATAAATGAAAGTAGGAAGACATAAAATACCCTACTAAAGGGGTTATAGCAGCTCAGTGACAGAACCACTTCAGCGTGGAAAGTATTATCAAATGGTGCGCAAAATATTAAGAATAACGCCCCCAAAGACTATCATTTACACAGGAAATTAGAAAGTACATTTCCTTTTTTTCTTATAAAATTGGGAAGTTTCAGCAATGCTTACTGTGCATTTATTCATTCAGAAAATATTTATTTAAAATCTACCATATACAAAAACACAGACACCGTTCTTAAACTCTGTCATGAAAGAATGATACATTAGCAGCATTTGAATCTAGAAGGTGTTTTGATTATGACAGTCTGTGAACTTTTAGGATTATTTTAAAAGGCTCTTTTAAACTATTGACTCTAATTTGTTCATTAGAAGAATTTCTGAAATGATTGTTCAACCCTGTCTGTGTTATCTATGTTTAAAGGTGCCAGAACCCTGGGATTTCCAGTGTCATACTTTCTGATCATTCTCTGTGTGAAATTCTCTTTTTTCCTGGTTATCCTGGTCATCCTGGGATTCATCTACTTCCAGAGAACCAATGATTGCAGGTAGGAAATTAAGACTGAAAAATACAGACTCACTAGAAAGAAAACAGCATTATAAGACCTTGAGCTTACAATGTCCTGGGAAAAGCTTGACCCACCTTTTGACACATTTGTCTGTTCCTCAGTTCCTTCTTTGACATGAAAGCTTTGTTAACAACTGAGAGCCTGGGCAGAGGTGCCTGCAGCACTGGGGAAGAGTGTCTGCTTCACCTGTCCTAGACTACCCTCTGCGAATTCTGTGGGGAGACCAAGTTTAACTGGGATTCCTTAAGGTTTGCTCCCCTGTTTCTATGCTTCTGAAGGCTTGTATTAATTCCTGCTTAAATATATTTATATATATATATTTATATATTTTTTTTCCTAGAGCATGAAAATCAGAAAATCTGGAAGTCAATTTAGACTTAATGAGATATCACAAAAAAGCAGCCAGTTGAGATCAGCCTTCTGGTTCAACATCTAGCTCAAGTGCTCCTGCTCCTGCTCCTGCTATTTGAGATCTTTGTATTTAGAATCCATGTGATAGGTGTCATGCCTGTTTCAAACTCTCAGCATACAGACGTATAGACATACACACATACACACACACACACACGCAAAAGCTTGCCACCTGCCATCATAAATGCCTATGATGACTCATCCACTTTCCCCTTTGCCCTAGTGAGTCCTTATTTACAAAGGAGAAACAACTCTGCTTCTCAGCCTAAAGAGGAAGATGGCTCAGCAAAAGGCAAATAACAATGTTGTGCAGTTCTTCTACACCCTTTGAGTTCTTTGGATGGTGCTTTCATCCTACCTACTGTTTCCTCTACCCACTGGAGATGCTAATTACTGTTGCATTGGCAGGAGTCACTATAAGCACTGCCTCCAAGTTAGCCCATAGCTGACCTCCCACCCCTTTCTCGATTGCTAGCAATCACTGAGGTAGTTGTATTGCATGTTTGGCCTGATCATTAAATAAATGGTCAGGAGTCATTTTTAGCAGTACCTACATTTTTGAAGAAATTATAAGTCGGTCCCAAATAAGGAGATATTAGAGTCACTGGAGAGAGTGCTGAACGCTAGCTCACTTTTTGGAGCTCCAGTGTCCCAATTCTATATCTTGTCTGCATTATACAGTGGATTAATGGTGGTAAGAGTAAGAGTGATTGGTGAAACCCTGACTCTTCTAGGGTCACTGTAAACTGGAATGCTATCTTCATGGATACTTATGGTAATCCTATAGTAAAAAGTGTCCTTTTATTTAAAGGAAAAATGTTTTGTGTAAAGTGGCAGGTGATTTGGGCTATTACTTTTATTTTAAGAAAAACTTTATGAGAGAAAATGAATGCATATAATCTGGAGAATACTAATATAAACAGGATAGTCTAATTGTTGAAACAAACAATCCCCAAATCTCAGTGCATTTATACCACAAAAGTTTAATTCTTGCTCACTTTACATTCCAATGCAGGTTGGTGGGGCTAAGGCAGGGGGCAAGAGGAGTTCTACTCTAAGCTAGTATTTTATCCTACGGCTCTGCCCTTCTCAGAGTATTCTCCACTCAGCTGGTATATGGGAAAGAAATAGGAAGAGAGAAAGAAGGAGAGAGAAGGAGGATTTTATATGGGACTATTTTATGAACCACGCCTGGAGTAGTAATCACTTCTGCTCACATTCCATTGACTAGTACTTGTCACATGGCCACACTAACTTCTATGGAAGTTGAAAAATGTAGTGTAGCTGCCCTGGAAGAAACAGTCAGGTTTTGGATACATATATATCCATCTTCCTACAGTAAACAATAGGACAAATGCTAAGATTAATACCTATTCATTAGTAAGTGACATGAGTCAAGAAATAAATTAGTAAATAGTGTCACATATAACTTACATAAACTCCTTTCTCTCTTTTTTTTATTATGATTTCCTCATGTTTAAGACAGGGCATAAAATGGAAAAAAGTCTAGTACCACAATTCTATCATGGAGTCAAAAATACTATGGCACAGTTGCTAGTTACCTAGTTCAATGCTCATTTTCCCCTTTCTCCTCGTAGTAAATGATTGTATTCATGATTCTAAATTTTCACCTCTCCCTCTATCCATGTAATTTGTCAATGACTTTAGAGTTCTTTCCATAAGGAGAGTGCATATTTCTCCCCCTCTCACCATGTAATTTGTGTTAGCCAATCAAATGAGGCAGAAGTGGCAGTATACCCGTTTTGAGCCTGGGTCTCAAGAGGTCTCATATGTTTCTATTGCTACTCCATAAGAACATGCCTGAGCTAGTCTGCTGAAGGATGAGGGACATATAGGAAGTAGCTGCGTCACCCCAGTCTCCTCCTCCACTTCCCTGTTGAGGCCAGTCTAGACAGTCCAATCCAATGATCATCAGCCATCTCCCAGACATGTGAGAAAGCTCAGTTAAGATCAGAAGAGCTGCCTACCTGACCTCCAGTTGATCCCAGACATTTGAGCAACTGTCACAGAGGTTTTTGTGGTTGTTTGTTACACAGCATTGCCGTGGCATTAGGTTTCTGATACACTGTTTAATAATATAATTCCAACTTTATTTAGTGTGGGAACATACTTAGCTAAAAGACATTTCTCAGTTTCCCTTGCAACTCAGTATGGCCACCCACAAAATTTTCACAAATTAAGTGTAAGCACACATCTTGTGTGTTTTTAGGAAGGCTCTTTATGGATAAAGTAGAGCTCCTCTTCTGCTTTTCCTTCTTATCTCCTGGACTACAATATTGGTGTGATAACTAGAAGTCTAGCAGCCACCTTCGGTCACAGGTAACACTGAGGACTGAAGCCACTCACTAAGGTGGTGGAAAAGAAAGATGGAAGGATCCTGGGCCCCAATGACCATGGAGTTACCATTCCAAACTTAGACTACCTAGCTATAAACTTCTTTTGTGTGAAAGAGAATAAACTATTTTGTTTGTGGCACTGTTGTTTTGGGTTTTACTCTATATGCAGTTGAACTTAATCTGACTGATACAAATACCTAGTTTGCCAATCACAAGGTTTGCTCCCAAGCCTGTAACAAGAGTTATGCTCTATTCATGTGCATTTTCATGGTCTATTTTGTTCTTCCCCTAGAGATTATGAAGCAAGTTATGTTCTACTGACGTGCATCATCATGGTCTATTTTCATTCTTCCCTTAGAGTAATGAAACAGATGTAACCTCAGAAGATAGTAATCACAGGTATTCCAGCCATCACTATGACAGTTCCAGAAGAATTGCTGGTTATGTAAACTTACAAGATGCTATGGGCTTGTGATAGGGAAGGGCATAGGAATCTGGGGGTGTTCAAAGATGATCTAATAGTCAGCCAATCCCTATATATGTGAGGACATGTCTGCATTACAGGATTGGGAAGATACAGATATAGTTGTGGACTCTTAGAGAGGAAGTGAGCAGGAGAAATAGAGGAACTGATATCCATGGGATTTTATTGTGTTAATTCTTTTTCTACAGAAAAGACTCCATCATTCTCTGAATAGATTTATCCAAGTTTGTGCTTCTTGTCTGTTCCATTCTTAATGCCATGATTTTCTGCTGATATGAGCCTGGAAAACCAAAAAGCTATAGCTACTCCCTCTCAACCTCCTACCCCTGCATAATTTTTTTTCTTTTCTGAACACATATGTGTGTGTATGCATATGTGTGTGTGTGTGTATGTGTGTGTGTACATGTACAACAAATTAATTGTGGTCCTAAATTGAGGGAAGTTGGGAACAACTTTTATCAAAACACAATTGAGAGCCACTAGATGGTGCTTCAACTTAATTGTTTTAACATTTCCAAGCAGGCTAAAATTTAACCTCAGACGGTAATCCTACATTTTTTTTCCTTTAGTTTTCCCATACAACTGTCCTTCCATTTACTAATTCTTTAGGTCTTCTTGGGTAGTTTTGAAACAGTTACAGAAGAAAGGGAAAATAGTTTAAGTTAAAATTAAGGAGAAAAAAATGTTTTTCAAACTTGAATTGTATTATTCCTGTCACTTAATTTTAGTTGAAACATTTTGCTTATGAAACAAGATAGGGGTAGGTATTAACAGTCTTATTTCAGGGAAAGGGTAAATGTGAGGATCTCTTAGCGGTAAGCCAAGATTACTACTCACTTATTTCTTAAACTGGAGACCTGAGATCACTTGATCACTAAAAAATATATAGCTGCTTGTTAGTGTTAATGGCAGCAGATGGTCAGTGCTACAAATAAAATTAGTTGGCCTTTTCTACTTCCTGGGTCCAACCCCGTATCTCCTCCCCTATCATCTTTAAGAGGCATACATGGTATTCGAAAGCTAGAAGGAAGCTACACACAAAGTAGGCCAACTTCCTCATTTTTACAAAAGAGGAAACAGACTCTCAGAGTAAAGTGACCATTGAGTGTTACTTAGAAGCCAGCAGGAGTTGTGGACTTGCTTTGCCTTCTGATGAAAGCACTCACAAAGTGGACTTTACAGTTTGTTTTGTTTGGATTGAAAGGGTTCAAGAGAGAATTTATGGGAGTTTTCCAAAGGATCACAAGATGAATAAGTGAAACAACACATAAAACATTCATGAGATTAACTACTATATTCAGGGAAAGACTGAGTATTACTGTTGTTAAATAACCGAGTGTCACCACATGCCAAGGACCTCACAAGCCAAGTACATCACATCTAAACTGAGAAACAAGTGCAATGGAGAGATTTTTTAAATTGCTTGTTTAAATCTTACGTTAGTGTTTTCTACACTCTGGATACAAGAAAAGAGGTATGAGAAGAAAATTTGTCTTTTTAGGGAAATGCATCAACAGTTTAGACAGGGAACGTAGGGCTCAGGTTGTAGAATGCCTTGGGAATTAAAATAATCAGAATAATTTTAAAAAGTGTTCTTTCTGGGCTCCAGTGACAGGAATTTTGGAAGTTCTTGAGGAATCAGGCAAAAGAAGAAATAGAATAAGCCTTCGCTACAACAAAAGAATTGACTGGTCATAAATTCTTTACGATGGGATAACTAAAGAATTTTAGAATTCAAGATGCCTCTCTGTTAATATTTAGTTAAAACCTATTACATACAATAGCCTTCATGTGATTAACGGTGCTTTAGAAATGAAGGAAGAGGGAACTCTGCACACAAAAGAACAGAACTGGGAGAAACAGGACAAAGAGGGCAGAAGTTGGCAGGACTGGTGCTGAGATGCCAAGGATGACCAAGAATTTGGTTGAGATTTGAAGTATAAGGGGACAGATGATAGGAAGCCAGCAGAGGAGGGCAAGCACTCCATGAGGGATTTTCAAAATGCTGAGGAGGGTAGTGTATGTAAAAAATAAAATTATTTTATTTGGACATTAAAGGAGAAGACTTTTTTCAGAAGTTTGGGACTCCTATGGACCATTGGGAATTGCACCGATGATTAGGAGAAGAAGCTCACAGTCTACCTATAGAGTTTTTACTTGAACTCTGAACACTTAAGTATATTATATCCCGATAGTAAGGAGAAGAACTCCATAATCTCTGAAAGTCCTGGCTAGATCTAGAATCTAACATTCTCCTGCCTTCTTCCCTGTGACCTGCAGCTTGTAATTTTCCAGACTAGAAGAAACAGGGAATCAAACAGGAATACTAAGAAATTCTCCAATTATCCATTTCTTAGGGAACAGCAGACTCTCTCCATTACTAAACAGCCACAACAGTCCAGAAAGATGGTTCAGCATATGTGCCCAATGACTGTGTGTAACCAGGCTCAGGTGAGAGTCAGGGCTCACAGTGCTCAGATGGGAAACAGCACCCTCTGGTATTTGTCTCTGTTGAGTATGTGTTCACCTGTACTTCATGGGCAGAAAACTAAGTGTTTCCTTGTCAGTGCTGGCCTATATATCTGCACTGAGAGCTGTATTTCTGTCCATTGCCAGCTTCCTACATGTCCCCAGAGTTTAAACCTGAAGTGATATCAAAGTGCCAGAGGGCCCCCCAATTTACATTGTGGGGGGCAGAATTGAATCCATGCCAGCAGAGGACAGTGTATCTCTCTGAATTCCTAGAGGTTGGCATGGTGCCTGGCATTTCTGTGGGTTAAATGCGTGGATGGACAGATGATGGAAAAAGCACAGTCCTGGAAGCACTAGGGCTAGGATCTCAAGGGGTTATTTAAATTGCTCATGCCAAGGCTGTGTATGGCACTCATTTTGACATATTCTGATAAATTCATTCCTTTACTCATCAAATATTCACTAATTACTCAGCATGTGTCAGCCATAACACTACACTCTACAAATAAATCAGTAAAATGTGAATCAAATAGTAATAAAATAAGATCCTTGAAGATTTCACAGCAAGGAAGATAGACATACAAGCAAATCATTAAAATCTAGTATTGATGTATATATACACAGGCACAGATACACAGGTAGAGGTATATACCCAGTGCTATAGCAATCAAAGAAAGGAATACTCAAAACTGAAGGTGTGGCTTGTAGTTAAGGAAAAGCATTGACTAAATTAGGAGGCTTTCAGCATCAAGAAACAGAAAAGTCAGGCTCTGACAGTTAATACGGACATTTACTGTCTTACATAAGAAGGCATCTAGAAGTAGGGCCAATGTCAAGTCTGGTTGTTTCAATGGCTCTACAAAGCCTTGAAGGACTAGGATTTTATCCTTTCTCTGCTCTGCCATCATCAGTGCGTGATTCATCCTCAAGCTGGAAGTGAGTAGATGGCAGCCACCCCAAGGCCACAGTCAGACACAGCATGTCCAGAGGAAGAGGGCTGACCATGTCTTCCCCCAACTCCATCTTACTAGTGAAGACCAAAAGCCTCCATATACTTCCTCTCTCGTCTGATTGGTCAAAGCCACAGATCCAGTCTCTGGCAAAGGGGTTCAGATTACGCTTGAACTGATTGGGACTTCCTGCAGCAAGGCTAGAGCCTGTGCCTTTCACCAGGCACTTGTCCTGGTGGGAGAGGAATGAGTGAAGACCTGGACAAAACCAGGGTCTTTGTTAGGAAAGTAGAACCTGAGAATGCATGTGAAGTGTTGATGAAGGAGATGATAACGGTCAAACTGAGTTCCAAAAGATGCATGGGATTGCTGCAGGTGGACAAAGGCAGGGAAGAAAGGGCAGCACGGGTAAAGGCAGGGAGCTGTGACAGGGTGTGCCTCTTTCAGGGCAGTGGGGATATGGCCTGTATCATCTCCTCACACACGTCCCACATTTCATGAAGTCATCTGGGGACAGAAGATTGCTATTCTATTGAGAACGCCAGGAGAGTTTTGCAGATCCAGCAAATCTTGATGAATTTATAATGTTTTCTGAACAGAGTGTCCAAATCTTCTGACTGATTCACCCAACACTGATTTTAAGATCAAACCAGAGCCAAGAACATTGGATATACACAGTGGAGAACCAGAGAGAGGCAGGCGACCTCAGGCTGGAGCACAGAGGGTCTGCGGGATGATGTCACTCTGCTTCTGAGCTGGTAAAACTGGCAAAGTTGAGGCACTTCTTATTCTGGGGTTCCCTCATGAAATATGAAGATAATTCTTGCTTTTAACACAGTTGAAGAGAGGATTTTGAGGATAATCTGTCTATATTTATAGATATCCTTGGGTAAGGTGCTTTAGAAACACAAAATCATGTTATTCATTCTACCTGCTTTTAAATGACCCTCATGCACACATTGTTATGTAGAAAAAATTAAGCAATGTGTCCTTCCCTAAAACTTCTCTTCTACCTAAGACACAGAGACCCCACACATGGACACCTCAGACACAGATTCCCATTTCCAGTCATATCCTCTCTATTCTAAATCTCCCACACATTGAGGAGAGAGCTCCTCAGAGGTATGGTAATCACAAGAGGAAGGAAATGATCATCTCTCCACAGGTAGCCATGGGACTAATCAAGAGAAATTGCGAATTTAACAGAAGGAAGAGAAAAAAATACATAGGCTCAAAATCAGAAAAAAAATTTTAAAGAAGATAACACTATAAAAAGAAGAAATGTGAAGTTCCATCAAATGTTAAGATTCTTACAGGAGGAGAAATGGACCATGTTCCAAATTGCTATTATGACTGCCTGTTATTAAGAATGTGACTCTCCTAGGAAAACAGTTGTATATGATTACGAGATTAATTCTTTATCTTGCTCCTTAACATGATGAAAATGCACATTTTCCTCAGCTTCTCTTCTATGTTATCTTTATGAAAACAGAGAGCAAGAGACCTATTGAGCAGGATGATTTATGGTTAACACAATGGTTTTACTCTGCTTTGAAGGGCACTGTGTCTACTGTGCAGCTTCCTGGGGTTCCATGGGGGCCACAGAAACTGGAGAGGAAGCAGCTCTTTGCCGTTGTGGGTGCTGTGTGGATGGATCATGACTGGAAAGACAAAGTTTGTATGTTGCTGCTGACTCTTGGAATGGACGTGAGATCTCTATAGATTTGAATGATGCTCTGTGGGAGATAGCAGACAACCAGATTGTGTAGTTTGTGTCTGAATACAAGAATTTACAGTTTGTTTACAGTTCATGCACTTCTAATTTTAGGCTTCTGACCAGAGGACAACATCTGCTACATAATATCTTAAAAAAAAAAAAAAAAACCTCTCCCACAGACTTTCCCATATTCTATGTAGTGGAAAATCACAATGTAACACGTTTACAAGATATTGAAAACCAAGGAGCAGCCCAAGATGTCAGCTCCAAGAAACTACAGTAAATGCCTTGGGACTAGAAAGAATGATTAAACAACCAGCATTCCAGCAAGAAGCATCTGTCTTTTGTCATTCTCCCCAGATCAACATAAAATGTGCAGAGGAAGGCAGCCATTTCAGTGGGGGCGAAGGAGGTCAGCTGTTTGTAACATTTTCCACCATTCCCTTACAACTAAAACCCAAATCCTATTACTTTCCAACTGCCTATCAAAGGAGGGTGTTTGCTGATGCAGCCCAAGGAGGCCTAATCGCTATCCATGGTTCCCCGTGGCAGCCCCTGCATCCTGGAAGATGATTAAATGGCAGAGCCTGCAGAGGAGCTGGATGTGAAACCTTATTCCTATGCCAAACTCCTCTTGGATATTTAATTTTTTTCTTTTTAGTTTTTTTTTTTTTCAGATTTCTATCCAAAACATGCTTTCTTTGGCAGCCTCCCCAGAGGACTGTGAAGTCCTTATACATAAACTATCCAAGCCCTTACCTCTGCAGGATGGTAAAACAGACTTAAGACTTGCAAATTGTAACTGTTGTCCAGCAAGGGCTGCTGGCCAGCAGGAACCAGCAGATACCCTGGCAGAGCACACACAGACCTGGAGGGTTTCAGAACAGTTACCTGCAGGCTGTCATCAAGCCTGAGGGCGAGCCTATCTATGCTCATCCAATGACTCTAAGTCTTCACTTAACTTCTCGTAGTTGGTAGTCTTCTTTTAGTTAATGGCTACTTTTCAAGGAAACTAGGAAGTGTCGAATTTATCACTATATTTTTTATTTATGGGTAAAAGATTAGGATAGTTCCACCCTACCTTTTCAATCTGGTCTTCCACTACGTTTACTTCCCTTATTCCAATCTGCATACCCACTATACAGCTTTCCCAGAAATTTCTCCCTAGCCCTTCCTGGATGCATTTCTGCCTGGCTTGGGCTAGTTCTCCTTTACTCCCATCCCTGACTTTCAAAAGGCTGCCCTCTTTCCAATGCTACTGCATCCGTGAAATCTTTCCAGGTGCCTTGTTCCGAGCTAGGCATTGCTCCACCAAAGTACTTCTTTTTACAGGACTTTGCAGACTGGCTTTAATGGCATTTGTGCATATATGTCTCCAACACTAAACTGTGAGGCCCATGAGGGCAGATGTCAGGTCTTAATTATTTTTATATCTTCTCAACTGCCTAGCACAGTGTCTTAAACATACTGAGTACTCAATAAATGCGTGCTGAATTTGAATTTAAAAACTCAAAGTAGTAAAGTCTGATAAAGGTATGATATTAAAGGGATACATTTGACTAAATGAATAAAAGAAGCTTTATATGACAAAGATAAAGACATAGAATGGAGAAAATATTTGCAGCGTATATAAGACAAAATATTATTACCCTGAATACACTGGCTCCAAAAAATCAAAAGAAAAAGACAAAAAGTCCTAAAGAAATATGGACAGAGGGTATGAATAGCTATTTTACGAGACAGGAAATATAAATATCTAATAAACATGTGAATTGATATTCAAGCTAAGTAAAAATCAGGGAAGTGCCAATTACTAAAAAATCCAAGATACTATTTTTCTTTCACATATTAGACCAGTGAAGTTAATAATTTTGATAGAATCAACTATGAGAGTTATAGGGAACAAGCAGTTTCTGATGGAAGTGTTAGTCAGCACAGTCATTTCAGAGAGCAGTTTGCAAGTATAACCCAATAATTCTAGTTTTCAGTATCTAGTCAAAGAATATTGTTCATGTGCGCAAGTGTTGCCAATGGATGTAACTAGTGTTCCTGGTTCTTGTCCCATCCCAGAAAGAATTCAGAGACAAGATGTAGTGGTTAAAAAAGTAAAGTGAGGATTTATTAAAGGACGGATAGTACGCTCTCAAGGGGAGAGCGGGCAGGCTCAAGTGAGCGGCTGCCCTGAGTTTCTTTAGCAAGTTAGTACATAGGGTGTAAAAATGAATGGGAGGAATATTTATTGGGGAGGGAAGGGTTTAGGGTCATATTCCCTGATTATCATCCCAACTCCACCTTCCCAAAGGGAGGAGGGATTTTTGTCCTTATTTAGTCTGGATTGGAAGTGTCATGGCATCGGTGCATGATGGGTACTTCTAATCTGCAAGGCTAATTTTATTGAAATGAAGGCATAATACGCAAAAGGTTACATTTGGACACTGGAAATTCCTGTCTTTTCTCATCTTTCTTTGTTGGTTTCCAGGCCACTCATCACCCCAAAAGTTGTGACCCCTTATCAGCCCAAAGGTTCCTGCTTTTCTTTCTCTGCCCAGGGACTCCTGGTGCTTACATGATGCATGGTTTCTTGCATTTGGCTTATGCCCCTCTTTTCTGCCCAATTCCTACCATTTAGTCTGTGTCCCCCTTTCTCTGCTCTTATTTTAGCTATCTGCCTGTAATAACAAAAATGGGAAACAAACCTCACTATCCCTCTTTAGGGGAACGTAATGCTGTGTAGCAGCTGAAAATCATGAAGCTGCCTCCACAGAAAGGTCCTCTCTATCTAAAAAGTCACCCCTGTCTCTATCCTTTTATCCCATTTTCTTTTTCTGCATTCCCATCACTTCATGTTATATCACGTTTGTTTGACTGTTATCTTTCTCCATCTCTAACATGTAAGACCAACGAGAATAAAGACTTAATCTGTTTTTCCAGCACCATATATGTGGCCCCTGGCACACAACAGGGGCTCAATAAATGGTTATTGAATTAATAGTGTGGAGATATATAGATCAATATGGGAATATCTTCAAGGCATATTGAATAAGAAGGAAAAAGGCAAGTTACAGAATAATACACACAGGATGATAGAATTTATGTAGATTAAGTACAAAATGAATTTTTTTTTCCTTTTTGCAATGTCCTTCTAAAAATTCTTCTCTCTCCTCATCCCTTCCTATGACAAGCTTGGCCATCCCAGGCTCATTACTCAGAAGAAAGATATATTTGAACAGAAGATGGAAATGTCACACACATGTTTCTTCCTAAGGCTGGTTTTCCAAAGTGTAAATGCTCTTAGTGGAACACAGAGAATTCTGAGAAAACAAGAAAAAACAGTAACAACAACAAAATCCCACCTTGAGCTGAGGAGAAGGGCAAATGAGGCAAGTGATGAGAGAATAGATTTGTTTAGGGGAACTGTCTCTCCCAGGCAGAGCTAAGGAGGTGAAAGGCCAGAGCGAGTTTACGCAGAAGAGACCTTGGATGCCACTGTAGGAATTCTCTTGCTTTAATAGGCACTATAGGTAAACTGACCCTTACTGTACCAATCTTGATGTGGCAAAGGCAGTCTCAATTCTAAAGAGCCAGGTGGATGGGAAAAAGGATTTTCTACACAAATGCCTATGGGACAGATGACTTGGAGGACCAGATCCTTCCCTTACTATACCGAATTTAAATGCAGTCATGATGGAAGAGAGGACGGAAGGGGCTGATGGACTGAAGTAATTTTTTTTATGCTATTAGAATGAGTATGAGTGAGTCCTCTAAACGTAAGTGATTTTTCTTTGCAACTCAGGGTAGAGTCTGAGCTTTACAGCTGTA